TAAACTTTCTGTCTGAGCTACTAGTGTAGCTCATACTTCATTGAAGATGTCAGCGTCTATTTTACTTGTTCCTTTAAAATGCCGTCAATTTTTTATCTTGTCTTATTTTCGTTTACTTACATAAGAGTTGAATTAAAACGCGTGTGCAAAGTGTTGCCAATGTTTTCGAACGACAGTGGAACGATATTGCGCGAACGGATACTATTTTGAATACACAGCAGGATCGACTCGATAGATAACTTCATTAAGAATTTCATGGAAGAATAATAAATCGAATTGATTATTTATGGATCAAGAATATGTCCTCCGTCAGAAATCGGAATTTCAATTGTGGAATTAACATTTGAAATTCAAAGACACAACACGCAGCAATCATTTTGCATTCGATCGGTGAGATTTACTTAAAACGTCGCACCATTTTTCGCGAAAGTATCAAACAAAGCGTCGAATTAAATTGACTTCCGAATTTTAAATTATAAAAATTCTGAAGGGAGAAGAATTGGCCGAAGAAATTTCTAGAAAAAGATTTCGACACTTGAAACTTGAAACGTTGCCGATAATGAGCTAGATACATCGATGTTCTAAAAAAACAAAATTATAATTAGTCCTACTTATTTCTACGTTTGCAGAATTGGTCACGAACGATATTTCAAACTGCGCGTTTAAGCATATGGATATTTATTTTTCATAATGCTCTAATTATTGCGAACTGGATAATGATAATTAACAAGGTTAATAAATTCTTGCGCAACCTGTACATTATTCTACGTCCTCACGCATTATCTGTATTTCATTTCTTTTTTTTTTCTTTTTTTAGCTCGCTAAATATTCGAATATTTTAAACGTTCGATAATATACTGATGATAACGCAATTTTATCTTCCTTCCTTCATTTTCTTTTCTATCTGAAATCTATGATAAGGGATTTCGTTGGGCCGGAAGTGCATGGAGCGAGCATTCGTTCATTAAAAAAGGGACCATTATCATTTCAATAAAGCGTTGCTCGCGATTCTTTTCTCATCGTGTACGCTGAAGTATGTATCTTCCTCGGCGTTCATTTATGCTTCACGTCGCGAGATGCAAATGTTTCAATTCATCGGGGCAATAAATCATATCACGTGGCATTTGAACATTCAAAATGGGCGAAATGGGGAAACTTTAATAATTCTTTCAAAAATAAATAAAATGTATACATCCACCAGTCCACGATGTTTTGCCTTCGTCTCGTTCTTGAATTTGGATTTTATCGCGATAGAGTCTGTTAACATTTAACATTCTCGAAGACTGCGAATATTCTTTCAAAACGTGATACGTGCTCTCTAAGGATTTAAGAATTGACCGAGCGAGGAGTTTTTAGACGAATCTTTAAATTCGCCGCTTATCAGAAATCATGATGATCGCGTGGCCGCAGCGCGTAGTAAATGCAACACGCTTTAAAATGCAATTTTTACGCGCGGGCCTTCATTGTTAGCCTCGTTAGAATCGTGCCACGGCATCGTAAACAATCGGGAACGTGCATCGTTAACTCGCGCGTTAATGAATATGCCGGGTGCATAGTATAATGCAACCGACGGAAACCATCACGTAACTACTTTGAATCGATTCTACGCCGTTTTTTTTTCTTTCTTTCTTTCTTCTCCCTCGCTCTCTTTCTTCAGTGTCTCTCCTCCTTCGTTTAAATGGGTCATAGCGCGCAATTATCGACAGAAAGTAAAATGATGCACATGGAACGATATTATTTTTGTAGGAAGCACGAGGAAAGTAAAGAAAGTGTTTTATATTGTATATTATGCAATCAGTATTTTTTTAAATGTAGATCTCGAAATACGTATTTAATCTCGCGTCTAATTAAAAAGAATATTTGCTGGATTAATTAGAGATGGTTTAAAAAAATACAAGTGTTTTCGATCATTTATTTTTATTCAAGTAAACGCAGATTCTTTATAAATTTAGTCTTCCTATAATGACTATGGTCTTCTTATGATCATTAATCATAAACCATAACCTTGTGTATATATATATATATATATATAGGTAATCGTGTCTTGGCATATTTATCACGATCATTTTACATAGTGATCAACGAGTTGTGAATGAAAGGTTTCTGGTAATTACGATTGTTTTAAACGTGATTTTTATTTTGAGGAAGCTTGGATTAAAATTATAATAATAGAGTACTCGAGATTGACATCAAATTAGTAAACTAAAATTCTTTAGACAAAAACTTTGTTAAAAATTAAATCTAAAAAAAAGAGTAATGAATATTCTACTTATCCCAATTCATCACTGAGTCCTTCATTTACAAGAAAACTGCCACAAAATATTATAATCTACCTATCACCGAATATTCAACATAATGTTTACGTGAATTCACACGTATATTCATTTCGTGAATAAAATTTAAATCTCCCATAAACATCTACAATCATCAAACAATCAATATCTGTCTGTATTTCCAATCACACAATCCTTGTGTGTTAACGATAATAATAATTTCTCGAATTCCACCATTTTTACAAAAATCGAAGAATCGAAAAAAGAAACGGAGAGAGAGAGAGAGAGAGAGAGAGAGA